AGGTAAATGGGTCAAAAAAATAAGAATTGGGGTGTGGGGGGAATGGAGGCCTGCGTGCAAGACAAGTCACTGAGTGGTTAGATAAGTTGTTTATATTGTTGAATGCAAAAAAGATGATATATAAGCCCTACACAATTAAAAATAATGTGTAAAGTAGTAATGATAATAATGTGGGTGAGCTGGAACAATTTCTGGAATGAAAATAATTAACATTTGAAGCCCTGCTAGAAACCTAAAATCCCTCTTTGAAAATGAGGGCAGCATATGTATCCCATAGTAATCAAACCTCTGGATCAGCAGAGTCGGAGACCACATTGCCCTGCTCAAAGAGAGCAGTGCACTATGTTACTTTGAATGTGTTGCTCTCTCCAGAGCCTGGCAATAATCCAACTTCCTCTTCAAGCTCACTACACTTCTTTCATGTCTCCTCAGATTTATGACCCACAATTTCCCCATTTTGACTGTTGCTCTGCTTTACCCAGGATTTAAAACTCAGGTCTGTTCCAATTTTGTTTCTCTGGCTACACATGAACTGGTTTGAGCTGGTTCAGTTCTATGCTAACACAAGTGGTTCACCATGAGTTGGAACGATTTCGATGGCAATTGGTTAGTGTTTACAAGGAGTGGGATGCAGGGGGGAAATACAGTTATTGCTTGATGAAAAGATGGTTCCATCAGCATGGCCAGCAGTCTGAAACCACTAGCAGCTCTGCGAGGGAAAGACTGAATTTCCTCCTCCCATAAACTGCCTCAAAAACCCACAGGTGTCACTATGAGTCAGCATCGACTTGACGGCAGTTTAAGTTAGGCTTAGTTTTTGGTTTTAAGGGATGGTGAATTTCTATGAAAGGTACTTAAAACAAAACAAACAACAAAAGGAAATGCATAGTGGTGATGGCTGCTCACATAAAAATGGAAAGCATGAATTTTACATAATTATATATATATAAATGAATTAAACAATAAATGATGTATTCTATTTTTGTCACAATATTAAAGAACAAAAATATTAGTATACTTTTTAACCTAGCAATGTCATAAAAAATAAAGTTCTAAAATTGATTGTGGTATTGACTGAACAATTGTTCTGGATATGTGTGGAATACTGAATTATATATTTGGATTATGTCCAAATAAAAATGCTTATATAAAGAACTGTTATGATATGTAAATTAAATGCCAACAAAACAATTTTTAAAAATAATAAAAGGCCAACCCGTAATAGTCACCACAGTATTGCTTTTATAGAACAGCAACAATATAAATGTCCAACAGTAAAAAATAGTTAAATAAATTGTGTTTTATCTATATGATGTCACCAAAAGGTTTTTAAATATCAGGAAGATTACTTAATAGCCTATGAAATTTTTAGAGGAAAAAGTAGCTAGGCACATTTGTTATGATCACACTTCATTATCTGAAAACGTTAAGATATTTTGAGAAACTGTGTGTATACATGTACAATCTCCCATATAACTAAATTAAAAACAGCGGGTCTTTTCATCAAAAGATAAAACAGTTGTTACTGCTGAGTGGAGATATTTGAGTGATTTGTTATTTCACTTGTATTTGATGCAATTCCAATTTTTAGCACAGCTCAACATAGACAACTTTTTGCATTAGGCTGAAAAAATGGGGAAAACATGCTTTAAAAAATCTTCAATAGAATATTTGCAGGTCTTGAAATATTAAGTTCCACAATGTTGTTATAACATTGTGCTATCATGCAATTCTGACTCCTAAACACCCGTGTGACAGAGCAGACCTGTGCCCTAAAGCTTTCTGGTGATAGTCTTAATGAGACCAGATTGGCAGGTCTGAATTACTAAGTGTGCCCAACTATTACATCACTAGGGCGAAAAAAATTTTTTCAGTTTTTTTTCATATTTAAATTATTTTATTGGGGGCTTGTACAATTCTTACCACAAACTATACATCAATTGAATCATGCATGTTTGTACATATGTTGCCTTCATTCTTTTCTAGACATTTCTTTTCTTTTTTTTTTTTTTTTA